CTTATGTATTTAACTACAACCAGGCCAGATATAATGCATGCAGTCAGTCTTATCAGTAGATACATGGAACATCCCACAGAGTTGCATCTCCTTGCTGCCAAAAGGATCTTCCGGTACTTGCAAGTAACGAATGACTTTGGCTTACTCTGCAAGAAAGGAGAAAATTCTAGTTTAATTGGTTTCACTAACAGTGATTATGAAGGTGATCCAGATGATAGAAAGAACACCTCAGGATATGTTTTCATGTTGGGATCAGGTGTTGTGTCTTGTTCATCAAAGAAGCAACAAATTGTCCCTTTGTCCACCACTGAAGCTGAATTCGTTGCAGTTACATCATGTGCATCCCAAGCAATTTGGTTGAGAAGACTTCTTGAAGAATTACACTTTCAGCAACAAGGCTCGATTCCAATCTGCTATGATAATAGGTTAGCAATTAAACTTTCGAAAAATCCATTTTTACGTGATCTCGCAAAGGATGAAACCGTTGATTTGATATTTTGCAAAAGTGAAGATCAAGTTGTTGATATTCTCACTAAACCCCTCAAATTGGGCCTGTTTGTAAAGCTGAGAAGATTGCTTGGTGTTTGTTCTATGGAGAATACAGTTTGAGGTAGCTATTTCCAATAGTTGAGAAGGACAAGTTGCCAACTCTTTCTAAACTGAATTTCAGAAAACATTCAGTTTAAGGGAGGGTGTTAAGAATTCAATTTAATTTCAGCATAAGTCTTTGTTTGTCAAGTTTTTAGGAGTCAATTTCCTAGTTTTTAGAAGTATCTAAGTTGAATAATCAATTGTAACTACTTGTGTTAGTTTCTATTTTTTAGCTTCTACTATAAAGTCTGTTGCTTATTTTTTGCTAAGTCAGTTCATGTACTCTGCTATTTAAGTGGCTAATTGCAATGAATAACATACAGAAAATTTCCACCAGTTCTTATCCTTTAATATTTGTATCATATCCTACATGGCCCATGACAATACCACCCGCTCCAACTTGAAAAAAACAATAGCAAGAGTATAACACATTTTATCCTAAAAATGATGTCAAGGGGATCCATTTCCTCATATTTGGATTGTCTTAACAATACTAATGATATGTGCATCATCTCATCTAGAACATTTGATATGGTATAATCTCAATCATCAAATATTCAATAAATTTAATAAAATATACTAATTTAATGATTCATATTGAGGTGATATATAAATGTGGTACAGAAAAATGATAAATATAGCATTAATCTCGAACCCATTTTTCTTTTATAACAAGAAATCGTAAATCACGTGTCTTCAAATTTATGGTTACAATGTAAAATTCAAATTCTCAAACCATTTACAATAGTTAAATATGAAGTTTATGCGAATTTATAATGCTTTCATTTAAAAGTTGATATATTAAGCAACGGGCAATATATCTTAAATTGGTAATTTCTCTACAAAAACCTATCAATGCATTTCATTGCCTTTTAATGATTAGTTTGAAAATTTATGACGTTTGAATGCTTAAAAGTGATTTTTGAAGCATCAAAGCATTACCCATTATTTAGCCATCTAGATAGATTAGGATGATAAGGGCCTATATAAATTTTCCACTTTTCTTTACCACAGATGATAGTGTAAATCTCTTAAGTCCCAAAGGTCTCCCCAACTGTTTTAACAATTCATGATTGGGGCATATGATGCTTTTATCCATCAGTTATGCTCCTTAACTTACACTAAACCCTAAATTACAATGTTTTTGTCTGATATATGACAAATGTTCAGTTTCGGGACAGTATGAAACTAATTTAAATAATTAAGAAAATAATATAAGAAACTCAACAATCGTGTGAGTAAAATGAGATCAGGTCATAGTTAACCAATTCAAACTTCAAAGTGACGTATGTGTTGTGCTTATGACCCAATTTTCCATGTCATTTCATGGGTTGAACTTAAATAGTTGAGATTATCAATTTTAATTTTAAAGTATAATTTTTAAGTCTATCTAGCATTACTCAAACTTGTAATGTAATACAATCTTCAACAAGAAGCCACTGGCCATGCTTCTCTAATGGAACTGTTTTGTCCCCTTTGTAGAAAGAAGTGGGATGCTTTGTTCATTTATGAAGAAATTGCTTGGATCAACCATGCTCTTCACTCTGGCCAACCTCTCAAAGTTACCCTTGAAGTACTTCTCTCCCCAAACCTTAGCCTGTGCATAGCTTGTGTTCCCCACCTGGTTCGAACCAAGGTCGAGATCCTTATAGTTCAGGTATGCAGCCCTAGGAGATTGAGAAACGTAAGGGGCCATGTACTCATAAAGGTCCTTCATCCACTTTAGATGTATTGAATCTGTGGTTGCCTTGTTATTGTACCATTTCACCAAGTACTGTATGTTGTACAAAGTGCCATTCCTGTGGGGAAATGGCAGTGCAGACTTTGAAATTTTATTCATCTGCCCACCAAAAGGGTCAATTATCATGTAAACTTGAGTGTCTTCTTCCAAAAATTTCTTCCATATACCTTCCAAACCTTCCGGTGAAATTGGGGTGGTCACAAAATCGGATTTCCCCTTGTAACTTGACCTGTAAATGTCAGTTTTTTTTAGTAAGACCATGTCCAAGTTTTTTTTCATATCATCATCGCCTCTGAGCCGGAATGCAGCTGCATGGACCCATGTCATTTCTTGGAGGTCCTCTTGCTTCACTCCCAACTCAAGAAACGTCTTGTTTAGTAATGGAATTAGATCCCATTTGCTTCCAAGAAAGAGCGACTCAAACTGAACTTTGATTGTCTTATCCTTAATCACCTTATTTTCATCAAGGGTCTTTTTTGTTGCCACCAAGCCTTTGATGAAGAGATCTTTCGATGGTTTGTGTGCAATATGTTGCCACTTATAAAAACTAATTTCGTAACATTCTCGTTTCCAAACACGCCAATATTAAAATATGTCATTGTGGCTAGAATTTGAACCAACTTTAGTTTCCAGGAAAGTATGACTCCGAAGCTTGCCCCTCCACCTCCTCTAATGGCCCAAAACAAGTCCTCGCCCATTGTCTTTCGGTATAGAATTCGTCCATTGACATCAACTATGCGAGCATCTATAACATTATCTGCTGCAAGGCCAAACTTTCTTAGTAGAACCCCAAGCCCTCCACTGCTAATGTGTCCACCAGGGCCTACACTAGGGCATAACCCTCCGGGAAAAACAAGGGTTTTCGTTTTGGTGCCAATATTGTAGTAAAGTTCTCCAAGAGTTGCCTCGAACCCACGCAGTTTGTTCTTCCACATTGATGTCAATGGATCGCATATTGACCTGGTCGATGATGATGAAAGGTGTCTTGCTAAGGTATGATTGGCCTTCGTAGTCATGGCCGCCACTCTTGACTCTGATTTGCAGGCCAAGCTGCCTGCTGCAAAGTACAGCCGCCTGGATTTGACTCTCATTGTTGGGCATTAAGATAAGAGTATGTTTTGGCAACTGCACTGTGGAGTTTACCTATCGGGTGTTTTGCTGGGCAGCGTCGAACCGAGATTTGTACGTTGGTGAGTCCGGGGTGAAGATGTTTTTCGTGTGGTGGGGTTTGCTAGTTAAATGCTCGGACATGCATTGACTAAAGTCTTCATGAATAGATGCTGCATAACAACTTACCCATGAAACTGATAGCAAAAACAAAGAAACAAGTGCAAAGTTAACACTCATTTCTTATCTCCCCACGTGCTTACAGGATTACAGGTTCTATCCTGTAACTAGGATAGGGAGAGGGAGAGGGAGAGAGAGAGAGAGAGATTGTGTGGCAAACAGGATTAGAGGTTTTTTCCTGCAACGACAAAGAGAGAAAAGCCAAATGGCAACGAGTATATTGAATTAAAGCTTGGGCTATTTATAATAGAGTTATTTGGGTTTGTAATCTGAATATGACATATGATAGGCTGTGAATTCCTTTCCGTACCCCTAATTTATGAGGTCCTATATTTAAGAACTTGAAAATTCCTTGTCCTCCAAAGGACCGAATTTCCAGCATGCCAAATCAATTCCAGTAGTCTCTTCTGTCTTGATAAATAACTTTTTTTTGTCTAAAGATAAACATCAAGCTCTATCCTTCTCTCGCTTTCTCTCTCAGACACACACACCCCCCCTACACATTATCATCATCATCATCATTTTGGAATCATTCACTTCCAATGGTGAAACTAAAGATGAAGCAAAGATCATATGCACATTTACCTGTGTTGGTGGAGCCATCAGCATGGCGCTGCTCAGAGGTCCTAACCTACTAAACAAAGAACTCCAACCAAGAAAATTACCCTTTGGATCAGGGGGTGAGAATTGGTTGTTGGGTTGTCTATATCGTTTTGGAAACAATAGTGGATTGACAATTTGGCAGGTATTCAGCTCTTGAAAATTTTCTTGTCTATTATTTTCACTTTTAATCAGTATAATTCTGTTTCAAATAGGACCCTATTTTCAGTAACTTTTAGATCTTTTTAGTTGTAACTCTTGGAACTCAATGTATTTTTATGAATTCAATGATGCATGTGTTTGATTGATCTGGTTTGGAATTCTTCATGTTAACTATTAAATCCTAGAATTTTATTTATTTTTTTGGTTGTTTGGTAAGGTAAGGGTTTGATTGTATGACTCACGGATCAAGAAGAAGCATTGTATCGACCGTGGTGGTTGTTTTATGCTTTTATTTTTCTGTTTTATGGATTTTGTGCATCTGGATCTAAGTTTTGTACTAAAGATCTTGGGTATGATTAGATTAGTCAAATTTTTTGCTACTGAAGGAAGTTGAAGCTTTCTGAGAACCATTTTCTCCTGCAATGTGGTCCTTCATCTATTATTTGTTGCTTTTGGAATAGAACTGCTGCTTTCAAATCACAATCTGCAAGAAGGATTGTAATTTCATCTACACTCCCTGGTATTCTATAAGGTACATTAAAAAGAACTACTAAGTATCTTCTCTGGTAAAAAGTTTGCACATTTTGATAAAAGGAAGATATATAGTTATATCTCATTCTTATCTTTTCTGAAAATTGAAGGCCTTGACTGAGTAGGCAAAGATGAATCCAAAAAGCACAGGTATTCCAACAATGATGATGGTGACATAATCAATGAAGTCATGTCTAAACCCAAAATAATTCCTTATAAAATGTTCTACAGTTTCATCTGTGTCAAGCTTGTCCTTAATGTCTCCAAACTGTGAAGCAGTTAAACCATTAAATGTCCAGGAGACCGGGCAGATATAATAGTACCACCTCCACCACACTGGAATCCTCTGTCAAAAAAGATAGATTAGTATGTTTAGCCCTTGTGATTTTTCAATGATATTTAGAAAAATGTTTGGGAGTTATTGAAACTTACTGTTAGTGGAACAATGAATCCTGAGAAAAGGTTCCAAATACCATAGAAGGCAGATGAAACTACTGCAGCAATATTGTGGTTAGGTGTAATTGCCACAGCCATCATTCCATATAATGTGAGGTATAAGAAGGTGAAATACATGAAGAAAAGATACCAAAAGAACTTGCTAACTATTAATTCAATCCGATCATGGTGTAGACAATGACCCTACAGATGAGTGTTTGAACGAATATGTATGGGACATCAATCACGACCTGTATGACCAAACGAGTTAGTAAGGATTTGAAAACTGTACCAATCCTTTTTTAATTAGCTTTGATTAATCTACAAATATGATGCCAAAATCAATTTGTTCATACGCTAGCTGTTTGTTCCTAACCTAATTTGTTTCTCAAATTATGATTCACGTATGGCAGGAATATGATTCACGTCGCCAACCCCAAATAATCCAGAAAAATTCACTTTTCGGTTTAGGACAACCCTTTATCCCATGTTTTCGTGAAATAGGTTCCACAAATTTGCATTTAAAACACCAATATAGTGCATGTATCTGGCAATTTCTCGTAACTCAAACCTTTGCATCTAAAATATTGTAAACATGACTAGAACTATTCCTTACTCATGAGTGTCAAATTAAAAACATGAGCAAATTACCTGTCCGAAAGCATATGGCAAAGCTGAATACATCCCGACTGCTATTTCCCTATAAAAGACTGTTATCTCAATAGCAACAACCGGCTGCACTGTTGTGGCATTTTGTATACCAGTAAAAAGAAAAACGGCATACATAGAACCCATTGCGTTAAAGAGATCTTGTTGCCTTATCCTGAAATGACACAAAACTTGAATTAAACTAGGGAGTTAGAAATGGAAAAATATTTCTGAAACAACCAATGTCATTCCTTTTGGCTTTCCTCAGTCTGTTTACCTTAAGGAGCCAAGATCCAAGAATATTGTCCCAAGCGCTAACGCTGCGAAAGTTGTGAACATAAGTCTGACTGCAGTGTAGGGAGGGTTTCGCCAATATGACCAGTGTTGTTTCCATAGGCATGCCATACATTGGGTGAAGAAAGACTGTGAATATTAAGACGGGAAATAGAGATCTTTTGAACCTGGTGCAGGGGTACTGAGTTGCTCAATCAATGCTTTGTTTGTCCTGAATCATTCATCAAAGAGTATTCATGGTTAGAGTACCAATTTGAACCACCACAAGTTCCCTTTGAAAAAGTACTCCAAGATCTTGAGAATAACAAATTTCTAAGAATTCTCAAATCTTACCAAAAGTTTTTTATCCTTTTAACATTCAGAGCCCTTACATTTACCAGACTTATTGTAATCCAGGGATCCTCTATTGGTTTTATCCTTTTGAAACAGATGTTCAAATAGAAAAATGATTTTTGAGAGTTTGACATAACTCTACCTATTTTTACTTTACAAAAAATGACATAACTTTACCTATATAGTTCTGAGTTCTTGTACACACCACCGCGGAAGTTAACCCCAAGAGCTATTTCTTGTGCTGCTGAAGTCACCTCCAACATCCAAGTTGCTGGATTATAACCATCTTTTATTTATTAACTCCACAACCTCCCTTCAAGAAAAGCAAGATGCTTATTTTAGTACTTGAGAGGAACATAAAGGACCTTCAATAATATTGTGCATTTGCCGGCCTTACCTCAAAGAAGTCAATAAGATGGCAAGAATGGAGGCCTAATGGACCGGCATATATTTCTTCACCTCCCCGTTTTAGAAGAAAGAGCTGCAGTTCATTTTCTACAGAAGTCAGAAATGAGAGTAAGTAGTCTAATTGTCATCCGTGAATTAGATCAGTCACCTCATCGAAAGCACCAAAAATATCAATGCTTGGCTGACGGATGGTGCACACTACGGTTCATCCTGTATCCATGGTATTTCTCAATGTTCGCATTACAATTGCTGCTGCCCTAGCATCAAGGCCTGTGGTTGGCTCATCCATGAATATTATAGATGGGTTGGCCACTAGCTCAACTGCAATCGTCAGTCTTTTTCGCTGCTCGGTTGAAAGACCATTCACACCAGACAATCCAACAAGTGCTTCCCTTAATGGAGCCAGCTCCACAAGCTTCATGACTTCCTCAATGAACATCTGCAATCCATTTAGATACAGTTACAATCAAATATACAATGCCAAAACCAAAAATAGAAATATGCCGAGGTTTGCTTCTTGTTTTCTATCATTAGGAGTCACCTTTTTGGTTGCGGTATCAACTTCAGAAGGCAATCGAAGCCAGGCAGAATATTGCAATGATTCATAAATAATGAATAAGGAGAGTGAATATCAGTTTGCTCACAATACCCTGCTATACGAGCAAATGTTTCTTGCCTCTTTGGGTATCATGATATAGTGATACTTCCACCCATTTTTCTGTCGGCCAAGACATCCATTAGAGTGGTCTTACCAGCCCCACTAACACCCATTAGAGCTGTAAGAATTCCTGGCCTAAAAGAACCACTCACACCTTTCAGAAGGTCAAGGCGGTCTTCCACAATACCCTGAGCTTTCATTTCCTACAAACATTGCAATGTGCGAGCTTTAAATAATAGACCAGTAAACACAATCGTGGATGACATTCGGAGATTCTTTAAAGGTGAACATGAATCAGAAGCAGTATATGCATGTTGTAAATAAGCACAAGACTTGATTTTATGTTGCATGCAACTCAGGATTTTACCAAAACTGCATAATATCATCCAAACACCTACAAGTTTCATAAACTATAATATCAATTTCCTGTCACATAAAACCAAAAATTACCTGTGGCATATCCACTGCATATCTGATATCATCAAAAGTGATAGAAAGAGGTTCAAAAGGTAAAACCATTCCCTGCTTCCTATTTGGATCACTTTCACTAATTCTGCCTACTCTTAATGACATTGATCTTGATGATACACTTCTTTGAACATCACTTCCGCTTTCTGCGTATTTCCAATTTGACTATGTTAGTAGAAATGCATAGAATTTTCAATCCATGCATATAGAGGGTGCAATTACACACCTGAATTGGTCTTTCTTCTTGACGATAACTCAGTACGCTCTCTAGTTTTACTGGTGTTTCTCTCAGCCAATGTTTCCTTTGATAGGATTGCCCGAGGCTTGCCAAATGCTACATCATATTTACCCATTTATTGGGAGAATTTGAACTCCATAGGCTTTCTGAGTTCTGTAGTGGAGTGTTAGAAAATTCACACGAAATTCTCAAATCTGTGAGAAACAAAAATAGAGAAAACACACGCCAAAGAAAAAAATAATCACACTCACAAGACAATATTTATTACATGGTTCAGTAATTTGCCTATGTCCACAAAGTTGCAGAATTTCACTATTATCAAGAAGGAATACAGAGCGGCCGTACAGAGTCAATCAAACCCTAATCACCCAAAACAATAGATTTTATATGTCCTGCACCAGGCTACAAAGCGGGCCAAAAAATTTTCCCAGGGGCAACGCCCCCATGAGGCTTGTCCATGAGCACTACGGCTTGGGCCTATCGACCTAAGCCTCCGTTTTATGGACTAAGTCTCAAAAAATTTTCCATTAAAAATCACGCAACATTATTTCAAGTCGGGTCATCATCCGGATCAACACAAAAAACTAGACTCCACAAAAGTCCAACAAATCTCCCACTTGAAGACTAGTTCAATCATCAACATCAATTGCAATCCTCCAAAAACAAACAGTCCCTCATCCCTGCAACTCATCCTTTAGTCCTCAAGCAAGAAGGCCAACTGAAGCTCCACACAACTTCAGCTTCTCAATAGTGACACCCTTATTCAACATGTCTGCCGAACTCTTAGTTCCGCAGATCTTCTCAAGTATCAACTAACCATCATCAAGCAAGGACCGTATGAAATGATACCTGACCTGAATGTGCTTCATCCTAGAATGAAATGCTAGATTCTTGGCAAGGAATATGACACTCTGACTATCACTGTAAAGAGTACCCTTCTATTTCTTTTTTTCCAGTTCCTCCAAGAAACTCTATAACCAAATCATCTCCATTGAAGCGTCTGACAGTGCAACATACTCGGCCTCTGTAGTAGAAAGGGATACTGTCTTCTACAATTTAGAACCCCAAGACATGGCAATACCGCCCAAGGTGTAAACAAAACCGGTGGTGCTCTTCCTATTATTAGTGTCTCCGGCCAAGTCAGCATCAACAAAACCTTGTAACTCCAAATTATCTCTGATGAAACATAAACATACTTCTGAGGAACCTTTTAGGTACCTCAGAATCCACTTCACAGCCTCCCAATGTTGTCTTCCTAAGTTGCTTATGTATCTACTCAAAACTCCCACTACATGGGTAATGTCCGATCTTGTGTAGACCATAACATACATAAGTGAACTAATAACTGAAGCGTAAGGAACCTTACCCATGTAGTTATGTTCATCCTCTGTCTTGGGTTACTGATCTTTGTTGAGTCTGAAGTGACTATCCAAGGGTGTACTCACTGGTTTTACTTCATTCATGTTGAACCTGCTGAGAATTTTCTTTACATACTCTGACTGTGAAAGCTTCAATGTACCATTAGCATTGTCTCTAATGATTCTCATACCAAGGATTTGCTTTGTAGCTCCCAAATCCTCCATTGAAAACTGTTTTAACAATTAGTTCTTTAGATTATTAGTCTCCTCAATGCTAGACCCTGCAATGAGCATATCATCCACATATAACAGTAAAATGATGTAAGAATTGTCAAAGAACTTAACATAACAATAATGATTAGCTTCACATCTCTTGAATCCAGTTCTATGCATAAAACTGTCAAATTTCTGATATCACTATCTTGGAGCTTGTTTTAGGCCATACAAGTTCTTTCTCAGTTTGTAGACTAGATTCTCTTGTCCCTGAACAATGAACTCTTCTGGCTGAATCATATAAATTTCTTCCTCCAAGTCACCATGAAGGAATACCGTCTTCACATCTAATTGCTCAAGATGTAGGTTTTCAACAACCACCATTCCCAATACCAGTTTCATTGTTGACATCTTCACAACAGGAGAGAATATTTCTAAGAAATCAATGCCCTTCTTCTACTGGAACTCTTTGACAACTAATATGGCTTTATACCTCTTGCTACCATCATGCTCATTCTTAATTCTGTATACCCACTTGTTGTGCAAAGCCTTTTTCCCTACTGGCAATTCAGTTAGTTTCCATGTCTAATTCCCCAACAAGGACTCCATCTCATCCTTCATGGCTAACTCCCACTAGCTTAAATTTTCATCCTACAAGGCTTCATCATAACACTCTGGCTCACCACCATCAGTCAACAGGAGGTAATTTAGAGTGGGTGAATAATGTTGTGGAGGTCTAATGATCCTGGATGATCTACGAACATCAGCTACAGGTGTACTTTGATCTACCTTTGATTCTACATTCTCCTTATCTTCTTCACCCTCTTTCTGGACAATACTTTTAGTCAATTCATCTATGTTGACAAACTCATATTTCTTCTAATCTATCTCTGTGACATCTGACACTGCAGTTGACTTGTTCTTGTACATAACTTGTTCATTAAATATCACATTTCTACTTTTGATGATTTTTCTGTTTTGTTCATCCCAAAAACGATAGCCAAATTTCTCATCACCATAACCAATGAAAAAACATATTCTAGACTTTGCATCAAGTTTAGTATGAGCATCAGAATCAATATGAACATATGAAACACAACCAAAAACTTTTAAATGAGAAAACTTTACTTATTTACCACTCCATACCTCTTCAGGAAGTTTTAACTCCATGGGAACTGAGGGTCCTCAGTTTATCAAGTAAGCTGCAGTACTAACAGCATCAGCCCATAAAGTTTTTGGTAGTCCAGCATGCAACCTCATACTCCTAGCATGCTCATTGAGAGTTCTATTGATGCGCTCAACCACACCATTTTGCTGTGGTGTCCCAGAAATGGCTTTCTCCATCTTGAATCCATGTGCAGCACAATACTCACTGAACCCTCCATCTATGTACTCTCCTCCATTGTCTAACCTCAAACATTTTACTTTCAAACATGTTTCTGTCTCAACCATAGCCTTCCACTTCTTAAAAGTATCAAATACATCAGATTTATTTTTTAGAAAATAAACTCATACCTTTCTGCTTGAGTCATCAATGAAAGTGATGTAATACCTTAACCCCCAAGGGATGCAACCGGAGAAGGCCACCACAAATCCGTGTGTACTAACTCCAATTTTTCAACCTTTGGTGTCCTACCAGTTTTCAAGAAGTTCACATTTTTCTGCTTTCCTAAGATGCAACTTTCACATATGTCAAAATCAATAGACTTTAATTCTGGTAGTTTTCCCTTTGACAGCAGCATCTTCATCCCTTTCTCACTTATGTAACCAAGTCTGCGGTGCCATAAGCTTGTATCAGTACTTGCTTCAGCAACTGCAATTGTGTTTCTTAGACTTGAGGTCATATATATAGTACCATTCTTCTTTTCACGACCCAATAATCTGGCTCCTTTTGTGATCTTCCAAGTGCCACCAACAAACAGTATAGCATGTCATTCATCATCAAGTTGTCCAATAGAAATCAGATTTGTCCTCAGGTCAAGAATATGTCAAACCTTTTCCAGTAACCAAATAGATCCTTTGGACAATAATATTCGGATGTTTCCTATACCCAAAACATCCAAGGTTGTACCATCAGCCAAATACACCTTACCAAAATCACCTGTAACATAGTTCTGCATGATTTCTTGATGTGGAATAGTATAAAACGAAGCTCCTGAGTCCAAAACCCAATCATCAAGTGGACTGTCTACTACAAGAAGTAATGCATCTTGTATCTCTTTCGTTACAGCATTACCAGAATCATCTTCATTTTTCTTCTTAAGACTTTTGCATTGCCTCTTAAAGTAACCCATTTTCCCACAATTTCAGCATTTTGCTTGTTGATCTGATCTAGATTTATTTCTGTTCTGATTAGAATTTCTGGATTTTAATCTGCTCCGATTTGAATTTCTATTATTACCTTTACCTCTTGTCTCAAGGTTTGGAGCAAACCCAAATCCTGAGGTTTCACCTGCATCTTTTCTGCGAATCTCCTCGGCCAGAATTAAATCTAGTGTGTCATTATACTTCAATTTTTTCTTTCCTATAGAATTGTTTACTGCTATTCTCATTGCCTCCCAACTGTTTGGTAGGAAAGCTAAAACGATCAGTGCACAAATCTTATCATCAAATCAATTTCTACAGACGACAATTAATTTGTGATAGTGTTGAACTCGTTCAGATATTGTGCTACTAATGTGTTCTCTACCATCTTCAAATTGAACAATTTCTTCATCAGATACACCTTGTTGTTTGCTGATGGTTTTTCATACGTACCAGACAAAGCCTTTCTCAGATCTGTTGTAGTTTTCTCCATTACAACATTGTGCACAACAAATCTAAATAGAGTTAACCTGATAACTCCCAGTACTTGTCTGTCAAGAAAAGTCCAATCTTCATCTTTCATAGTCAGAGGTTTTCCCCCTAAAAGTGGCAGATACAACTTCTTTCCATAATGATAATATTCGATTTGCATCCTCTAGAATCTAAAGTCTATGTCATCGAACTTTTATATTCCAGACGCCTTTCCTGCTTCCTCTGCCGTTGCTTCCACTCAACCCTAAACTAGGCTCTGATACTAATTGTTAAGAAATTCACACGAAATTTTCAAACCTGTCAAAAACAAAAATATAGAAAACACATGTCAAAGAAAAATAATCACACGCACAAGACAATATTTACGTGGTTCGACAATTTGCCTACGTCCACGAAGCTGTAGGGATTTCACTATTATCAAGAAGGATTTCGAGTCAGGTTATCATCCGGATCAATACAAAAAACTAGACTCCACAAAAGTCCAATAGTTTACTCATTTTGAAAAACAAGTTCGTCCAACTCAGGTTTAAACTCGATTGTTCGACTCATTTATTACCCTTAACTGAGCGACCAAATAAGAACTTAGGATGATGTCCTTATTAAAATTTCCCCTTTTCATTTCAAGTAACCTCGTTTTTTTTTAATAAGCAAAAAAACAAAGATGGGAGTAAAGGAGAGTGCTCAAAAAGCATTCCGATAGATCCTTACTAGTGGGAATGGGATCATGAGGTCCCTAACCGTGTTTATT